AAGTTTGTGTCAGACTCCACAGGTTTAAGGGCTCAGTCCCACAGGATTGTTCCCACTTTAGATGCCAGTCACAAACATGACTCTGTCCAACATGGTTACAAAGTCCCCATAATCCCCCCACCTCTGTGTCAATAATTTGCTGGCATGGCTCACAAAACTCAGGGAAACATTTACTTTGTTTACTGGTTTATTATAAAGGATACAAATGCACAGCCAGATAAGGAGTATATAGTGTGAGGTCGGGAAGGGTCCTGAGCTTTGTTCCCATGGAGTTGGGTACACTGGCCTCCTGGCATGTGGATATGTTCACCGACCCAGAAGCTCTCTGAACCTCACAGTTTTGGAATTTTTATGCCTGCTTCAACATAAAGGCATGATCTATTATAAATTATAACTCTAGTCTCTGACTTCTTCCCAGAGGACAGGAGGTGAGGTTGGGCGTTCCAAGCATCTAGGCAAGGCTTGGTCTTTCTGGGAGTCAGTCCCCATCCTGAAACTATCTGGGAAATTCCAAGGGATTTAAGAGCTCAGGAATTAGGGGCAGAGACCAAGTATACATTTCTTATCATGTCACACTTCTACTCACACATCAGACCGCCCCTAGACCAAGAAATCCGTCATGATGAGCTATGACAATGTAAAATGTAGTTTACTTTGATTTTTCAGACAGTTCTATTTTCTCTCTCTTTTGGATCCCAGTTTCTATCCTATGGATATCGTTTTTTAATAGAGAGCCTTCTGAAAATTCTCACTTCCTTCTCCATACCTTTGACCCATGCAGGTGGAGGCTCTACTAGATCAAGCACCCTCCAGGAAGACCTAGTTCTCATCTCTGTTCTTTCTCTCTACACATTCTGACTCATGGCCGTTTCCATTCCTCTCAAGACTGCACTCGAGTGGCTCATGTCTCCTGGGTCTCCGAATCTTTGACCCCAGGATCTTTTCCCTCCCGTATGGAGACATCACCCTCCACCTGCTCCCCGGCCCCCCTTCCCCCACATCACTGAATGTGTATGTGCAGCAGGAGGAAATGATGGGGTGCCTTCTGGCAGAGGCACAGAGGGAAAGCTGCTCCCTCAGGAAGAAATAAGTGACAGCTCTGCAGTTTTCATGTGGCTGTTTTTCTTTGGAGGGAGGAGGTGTGCAGCTGGAGAGAGAGAGATTGGAAGGAAGGGAAAGACAGAGGGGGCAGGACCCAGGCTTCTTGCCAACCTGAGCAGGAGGGGAGCAGCACACAGCTTTGCTCCAAGTAACAGGAACAGCAGCAGCAAAACAATTCCTGGAAATTTGCTCTTTCTCCTTCCTACCACCTCCCCAACTTTTTTTTCCAAAAAATGTAGACAAGATATTGTAATCAACAATCAGAAAGGAAGGAAGGTACCAGGGAGGAGTTATTGGAGGCACAGATAAAAGCAGGCAGCTTCCCAGGGTCAGGTGGGGGCCAAGGGCTTGTGCCTGGACCCTGGAAGGAGGGCTGGGCAGGCCGTCTGGCCTGTGTGGCCGAGGACCCTACTTTGTGTGTTGAGGGCGGATGGATTGCGGACTGGTTTAGGCTGAGGAGTTTGGCAACGACTGTACTTCCGCTCCCAGCCTAGCTGCCAGCAGGTCACTGAGTACAGAAGCCAAGCCCAGCCACAGAGGTCATTTGGCCCTCCTGCCGCAGCTTCCCCCTGCCAGGGAGGCAGTCTTATCTGCCCAACGGCACCAGCCTGGTCCCCGGGCGTCCCAAAGAAGGATGTGGTCCAGCGACCCTGTCCTTGGCTCTGCTCAGCTCTTTCCTGCTTACTCGCTCTTTGCTGAGGCACAGTGGAGCTAACGCTACTTCGGGGACCAGGCCTGTCTTTGACACCGTGTTCTGTTACTTAGTAGCTGTGTGACTTTGCACAAGTCACTTTACCCTTCTGAGTCTTAGTTTCCTTATATGTAAAGTGAGGTGACTGATGCTTCCTTCAGGGGTTATTGTATGGGACATACGAGATACGTAAAGTGCTTGGCATAAGCATGTTCCTTTCCCACTATTTGGGGATGAGGAAGGAGAGGTCCCTTCTTGGGGAATTACGTTGAGATACCTCTGCCCAGTCCCACCACTATGAGCCGTTTTTCTCTCAGTTGGATCGACACCAGCTTCCTCTTTCATTTAGTGGTCTGGTGTTCTGTTTCTCACGTGAAAGGTCAAGAATATTCCCGATGCCACTATGAATTACCACAAAAGCGATATAGCGACAAGTTAGCATTTGTGATTGACATGTACTGTTTGATCCTCATTAAGTTGTTACACTGTCATAGGCAAGGCTTCTATCATGTCGTGAGGCACGGAGAGGTTAAACGACTAGCCTGTGTCACACTGTAAATCCTTATTATAGGGATTCTTGACCTAGATTCCTGGCACCTAATGGCTTTAGGTGGTCTGCGAACTGCCTGAAAAGCATATTCAAAATCCCGTATGTTGTGTTAAGTCATTTTTATGGGGCTTAGAGTCTTCCTTAGATTCTCAAAAGGATCCACAATGTCCAAAAGGTTAAAACTGACCGCCCTCGAAGTGCCTCTTGTGGATAAAAAAGTTTTAGAAGCACAGCATACACTTGGGTGGAGGTGACTCAGCCTTTGGAATTCTGGGAAATTTCTTGAGTGAGAGCAAAGTCCCCTTTGTGGAGACGGAGAGAAGCATGGGATGACCTGGGGAGGGGTTGAGAAATGGGAGGTGAAATGTCTTTGCTGTCACAAGATGAAGGACAACTGTTTCCTCCCTATGATTTCCCAAGAGAATGTATGTGGAGGTGTGCAAGGTTAGTGCCAGGAAGAGGAGGCTCTGAGGGACCGACAGACACTGGAAGGTCCCCAGGGAAACTGGCACCACCCAGCAGCCTCCCAGCATGCCTTCACTCTTCCCCACCCTGTAATTTCCTATCCATCTCCTGGCTTTTGTCCCTCCCTCGGAACTCTCCCCCCTCCACTTCCTGATCCCTAGCACCTCCCCCAGGGTCTCCGTAGATGTGCTGACACTCCTTGTTGATCCTAGATTTAGTCAGTTTCTCCTAACTTTTGTTGAGCGCGTAACCTGGGCTGGACGGCAATGCCCCTTGACTTCTCCAGCGTTTCCGGAGGCCTTGACTTCCTAAGGTTCCCTCTTGACCACGACATAGATTCTTAGACTCCCCGAGAGTTGAAATGGAAAGGACTCACAAGATCATCCTGAACCTCCTCCCTCATTAAGAGGGGAGGAAGGGAGGCTTTGGGGAATCTCACGGCAGGACAATGTGAGAAATGCAGGTGAAAATGGAGAGGGAAGTGGGATGCTGGAGGGTCATCTACTTTCGCATGTGTTCATCTTGTAGGACGCCAGGTGCTGCCAGGTACTAGAAGACTAAAACTGGTGAGACTCGGTCCCTGCCCCCGAGGGGCTGCAGCCTTCAAGGCTCTAGTGTTCAGCACATGGGCGACCCATACTGCTTCAATCAGATGAAATCATTGCTTCAGGCTTTACCTGGAGTTTCTGGATTTCTACCATTTCTCTACCCCTCCCCCCCAAACAATTCTTATCCAGCCATTCTGTGGCCTCTTGGGGAGAGATGTTCAAGAGGAATGGTGTTTGGGACCACATCCAGATTGTCTTTCCAGAGTGTCAGGGAGCTGTGCACCGGTTAGGTCTCTGATTTCTGCCAGTGCTTCCTGAAGGACACAACCACAGAAACTTATTGAAGGGCTCTGCCTAGGGCCACAACTCAACGGTCCTGCCACAATGGCGGGTGAGCCTCAAGGGCGAAGAGGTCCAATGTAAGCCGGCCTCAATATCCCTTGAACTATTGCATGACCCCCTCCCTCCCAGGCTTCTTTTCTGGGGAAGGAGCTTGGTACATTTCAGTGGATGTAAGCAGGGACTAGAGCCCAATCCTGTCAGAGGCCACCGGGGTGCCCTGAGAAAGCCGCCCCATCGCCAGCTGTGCCCACTCTTCTTTTATGATGTGATGTCATCTGCCTCATCCTGAAGCCCCTCCATGGGCAGCTATTCCGTCCAGTCTCCAGTCCTATCTTGAGTCTGCTGAGGGGGCAGCTCCCCCCTCCTCCCCACCATCATTGGGATACAACTGAATGGATATTTTTGCAGTTATGGGGCTTACAGCCCTCCCTGCTTGCGTGAGGTTTTAGGCCCTGTGCAAGCCAGTCTTTTCTGCCTTCCGAGTCTGTGCTGAAATTCTGGATGTGGGAGGGGCAGAGGGCGATGCAGGCAGGCACCCGGGGCCTGCTGAAAGGGTAGCAGCTGTGAGCCCCGCTTTGCTGAAGTGCTTCCTTTCAATGCTCCCAGCAACTGGGAACAGTCTCTCTCCTGCGTGTGCCCACCTTCATTCCCTTCTCCCCCATCTTTGCCTCCGATATCAGACACCCCTTTAGTCTCCTGAACACCTTTCTGCCCCTTCCCTACTAAAGGGAGGGGACCTTATACTCTCTGCCTTCTCCTTCTAACCCCTCGAGAGGCTGACAGTGACTTAGATTCCTGAGGAATGAATTCTGTGTCCTGAGCCAGATGATGAAACCCAGGCCCAGAGAGCATGTTGAATGCACATGTGTCTTGAATCAAAGTGTAGCTTCCCATTAAGAACCCTCCTGAGCTTGGGAATGTCAAGGCCCAGCATGCTGGCAGAACAATGAAACAGCTCTAAACCTGGGACCCAGTGCAGAGTGGCCCATGTCACCCCATGTGTAGTCACATGGACACAGAGAGCAGAGGGCAGGGAAAGGGTGAGGGAGCCCTGCTGACAGCAAGCTATCTTTCTGGGCAGGATTTGGGATTTTCAAGGGCATATGTCAGCACTTACAAAAGTAGCCCAAAGAGCAGACAGGTTGAGGATAGGAAAAAATGTTCCGGAAAGACAATGATCAGGAGGGAAATTAAAGACTTCATGCCAGAGAGCCTGGAGGCCAGACTGCCTATACAGCCATCCTGACCGAGGAGGCCAGACCCTTTTCTGATCATAGCCTGTCTGCCTGTTCCCTGCAAAGCCATGTGGCTGTACCTGGCGGCCCTCGTGGGCCTGTACTACCTCCTGCGCTGGTACCGGGAGAGGCAGGTGGTGAGCGACCTCCGAGACAAGTACGGCTTCATCACGGGCTGTGACTCGGGCTTCGGGAACCTGCTGGCCAGGCAGCTGGACCTGCAAGGCTTGAGGGTGCTGGCTGCATGTCTGACGGAGAAGGGGGCAGAGCAGCTGAGAGACCAGACATCAGACAGGCTGGAGACGGTGATCCTGGATGTCACCAAGACAGAGAGCATCTCTGCGGCCACCGAGTGGGTGTAGGAGTGTGTGGGTGACGGAGGTACTGCCCAGATTCCTGTTTGTGCCTCTTTGTTGCTTCTCTCTATGCAAGGGAGACCTTTTTTCTGCTAACTCGGAAGATTCCCAGGATGTTTTCCAGAACTTGAAGTCATACTAGCTTTCTTTGCCTCACCCAGCTTATCAGAAGAGGGTCTTCCTTCTCCACTGCCCCCCACCTTGAGACCTTGGAGCTCTGGAGTTTTGGGGAGAGGGTGCCCTGATGAAGATGTGCCCTCCCCGAATTCCTCCTCTCTCAGCAGAGGTTCTGGATTTCTTTTTTTTTTTTTTTTTAAGAATTTTTTAAATGTTTATTCATTCTTTGAGAGACAGAGCATGAGTGGGGGAGGGGCAGAGAGACAGGGAGACACAGAATTTGAAGCAGGCTCCAGGCTCTGAGCTGTCAGCATAGAGCCCGACGCGGGGCTCAAACTCACAAACCGTGAGATCATGACCTGAGCCGAAGTTGGACACCCAACCGACTGAGTCACCCAGGCGCCCCGGTTCTGGATTTCTTGATGCTGAGTGACTAGGAAGACTCACTTTCTGGAGGAGGAGTTGAGACAGGGGACCCAGCCTGAATGCTTGCTTTGGTGGCTGGGGGCATTGCTGGAGCCAGGTCCTGTTCTCAGCACTTTAACAACACCTCATGGTATTCTATGAAATTGTTTCCTGCATTTTATTCATCATATTCAATATAAACGATGTCTTGGCAAACTTTTTTGTTGTGTTTTGTCCCGGAGCCTTGTGACGTCCTTGCCCCTCTGCCTGTCTGCCTTGCAGGAGGAGCTCTCCTACTCTGGGGTGACGGTGGCTGTGATTGAGCCCAGTTTCTTCAACACTGGAGTAACCAACTCTGAGAAGATTTCTAGGGCCATCCAGGAAGCATGGGATCAGGCCAGCCCAGAGGTCAAGGAGATCTATGGGGAGA